GAATTGACTGATATCTATTGCTGTGTAATGAGTAGTAAACCAGTACAAAAAGCAGATAAGTACATTAATGCCTTTGGGTAACAGAGCCAAGTAATGGGCTTTTTTTTGTTGGCATTTATATATATGATTAGAGTTGAATATATGGCTTGCAGCTATTAGTCCTCATAAAATAGGTGTCTGTGTCACAAAGTGATGAGTGAAGCAAGTATTTTGGAATTAATAAATCTTTTTATAAAAAGGAGTACTTTGTTTTTTATATCCAAGCTTGTTTGATGCTTTGTGAATAAATCTGTTTACAGCTCTCAAAGTTAGAATAATTACCCCTATGTGTTTTTACTCTAACTTGTTTTGTATGAAAGCCTACGTTGTAAAATTAGGATAGCTGTGATTTTATTATACTCATATTTGCCCTACTTGGTACATGTCTAAATCCTTATCTGTTTACCTGTTTTCTTCCTTATTCCTCTAGAGGAAGCTGCTCTAAAAATAGCTCCAGTGGTAGATGTTCCCCACGTGGTCAGATTGCTGAATCATTTAGTTCTTTTTTTTTTTAGACTGAGTCTTGCTCTGTCACTCAGAGTGGAGTGCAGTGCAGTGGCGTGATCTTGGCTCATTGCAACCTCTGCCTCCTAGGTTCAAGCAATTCTCCTGTCTTAGCCTCCTGAGTAGCTGGGACTACAGGCACACGCAACCATGCCCAACTAACTTTTGTATTTTTAGTAGAGACGGGGTTTCACCATATTGGTCAGTCTGGTCTCGAAATCCTGACCTCCCCCACCTCAGCCTCCCGAAGTGCTGGGATTACAGGTGTAAGCCACTGCTCCTGGCCATTTAGTTCTTTTATGAAGTTTAGGGATATGGACAGCAGTTCCTGAGCAGAGTAGGACAAGCATTTTTCACAGAAGACAAGTCAGTATTTTTTTGAAAAATAAATAATTATAATCCTCTCAAATAATCATGTGATAAATAATTTTCTTTTTTTATTTTTAAAAGGATTATATTTTCCAAATACATAAAATAGTTTTGAATTTTACTTCAAAAATGTTTTGAATATTATTTTCAGTATGTTGTATTAAATGTAATAAATTTAAGATAATGAATAAATTAATAACAGATGAGCTATAAATATTCCCCTACATGTAAACATTTTATTTCATTTTCTTCCTCTCATCTTAGGTATGTTGACATTCTGTCTGCCTTGTTATAGTTTCTCTAACATGCTGAAATAGTTACCTTCAGAATAAAAACATTTTATTTCTTTTTTTTTCCTCTCATCTTAGGTATGTTGGCATTCTGTCTGCTTGTTACAGTTTCTCTGATGCTGAAATAGTTACCTCCAGAAATAGTTACCTTCTGAAATAGTGACCTCCAGTTACCCCTCTAGTGTTAGGAGTATTTAATGCTTGACTGTAAAATAAATACTTTTTCTTAAAGAGATGAGAATTTAGCTTCCTTACATTATCCCTAACCCCCATTTCCACTTTCCCCATCATTCCAAGATAATTTTTAGATAAGCAGATTGTTGAGTGCTGGCTCCTCCAGAGTACCACCAGAATGTTTATTTGATAAAGCAAAGGAGAAATTATTTCTGGCAAGTAAAAGCACACCACCTTGATATTTCCTTGGCTGTATCTTCAAAGTCAAAGACAGGAGATTTAGTTTGAAATTTCTTGGGGCTCTGGTTTAGGATGGGTCTTTCAATGCAGGGGCTAAGGAAAATAGAACATTTATGATAAAATAGATTAGGATGGTTGACAAAGCAATGTGAGGTTTTCAAAGTGAGTCTTAGACCATGGTGTTAAACTTTTGTTTTCCCTGAGATAACTGTCTCAATTTAGAGTTTAACTATCATTAATTAATTTCCAAACTCTTAAGCAGAACCTAAAATTCTTCTCTGTATGGGCAAAGACTTTAGGTGATGTATGTTTCATTTTTATCTCTTGGAGATACCCTTCCAGAGCCTCCTGTCCTCTATCTATTGTAGCTTGGTTGCATTTAGCCCTGCTATACAGATTTCATCCTTGGATTTCTCTTTGCCTCTCTGGATGATGAACTGTACTCCCTGGATCTTATATATATCCCATCCTTTGTTTACTCTTTCATATTAGAGGAGCGATCCCCTAGTAATTTTTAACAGATCTTTCTTCTGTAAATAATGCATGCATAGGCTGGGTGCGGTGGCTCATGACTGTATTCCCAGCCCTTTGGGAGCCAAGGCAGGTGGATAACCTGAAGTCGGGAGTTTGAAACAGCTGACCAACACGGAGAAACCCTGTCTCTACTAAAAATACAAAATTAGCGGGGCACGGTGGCACATCCTGTAATCCCAGTTACTTGGGAGGCTGAGGCAGGAGAATCGCTTGAACCCGGGAGGCAGAGAGTGCGGTGAGCCAAGATTGCGCCATTGCACTCCAGCCTGGGCAACAAAAGCAAAAGTCTGTCTCAAAAAATAAATAAATATAAATAATACATGCATAGATAATTTATATGGTAAATATGGTATTTTCTTTTTATCTGTTGTAATGCTAGAATTTCACTACAAAACTATATCACAGAATTGCTAGGAAAATTGGAGAAAACGTAACATTTTATTACAGAAATGAAATTTGGAACAACAAAAAAATGATTGTGGGTAATTATTTGCTTTTTAAAGTTCTGGAAAAGCTATCTATGTAAATGATTATAAGGATATATAGAATTGAATTCTGTATTTTAGTGTTTCAACTTGTGAATATTTTTTATAACTCTATCAGGCAATGACATTTAATGATTTTGAAAATTTCATAAAGGCTTGTGGTAAAATTTTGTCTCATAAAGAAAGATTAAATAATTATAATATTGTAATTTCATCAAATAAACTTAAAAAACCTTTTTCTCACAAATCATATCCTGATAGAATTTGAGTTTTATATTTTAATAGAAAAAAGTTATGTCTTACAAAGTGTTTATAATCTCTGAAGATGATATGCTGGAGCTCAAAGGGACAAACGTATTTTTTAAATGAGATGCCTTGATTTAAAAATGTATTTTTAAAGGCTGCTGCCTCTCATTTTCTCCCAGTTGAGTGTCAGTAGCAATTATTGTGTCCAGAAATATCTCAGGTAGATTACAGGAAGAATTTGGGAGAAGAGATTTCCCCAGGAATACAGAGGGGGCTTTCAGTCTGGCTGTGACTTCATGTTTCTAGAGAGCAGATAGGCAGTAGGCTATGCTTCGGAAGCCAGGGCCCTGGAATGAAATGAGCCCTACCACTGGTCCATCACTTCTCCTCCATTTGTGGGAATATCAGAGAGAAGTAGCTGAAAGGGATGATTTCAGAAGTTTGCCAACGTATGAAGTGTATCGACTACTGAGGAAAATTTGGCTGCCCTCCTGTTTCTGCAGACTTACTCCTTGACCATGAAAAGCTCTAAAAATCATTTTCTTACATCTGCCGAATAGGCTTTTTTGGGGTGGGCCTGAGAATGTTAATGTCAAATGAATGTTATGCGTAGCCAGTGTTTTGATCATGGGCTGCTGCATTCGTTTTACACTGGTTAGGGTCTAAAGGGTTGAGAGAAGTGTAGAGAATAGCACACAGGGAAGGTCGAAAAACAAGGTGGCTTCATTTTTCTTTTGCTTTCTGAAAAACTATAAAAAAGTAACTCTGTCTTAATTCTATCACTTTTATATTTTCTTTGGATAGCAAACTTAAAAAATAAATACAGCATTTTGGGAAAAGCTAGGTTTGTCTATAATTTTAATACACCTGCCCAAACTCTTACTCGCGTCTTAGAAATGGTAGTTTTCAAATGGAGGGAAGAAAAGGAGGGAGGAAGAAAGATAATGATTTATGGAAGCAGTAAAACAAGATTTGATTTAGGTTTAAATATTGGTCTCAATAACATGTAAAATATACTTATTTTTGTATTATTCAAGTCAATATAACTGAGAATTACTGCAAATCATACTGCCCTTAAAAATGAAAAGCATTTTGTATGAGAAGTGGCAGTCCGTAATACTTTGAGGAGCAGAGCACCGGAAGTCAGGACGACTGGAATCTTGCCCTGTCTCAGCCTCTAGGGACAGTATGTACTCCTGGGCCACCTTCCTACCACATCCTTATTCTTCCCCTGCAATAACCTCAACTGGCCACTTTTTATAGGAGAATAATAAGGTTGTAGACTTGGTAATTACTAAGCTTCTGTAAGATTCTGTTACTCCATTATATATAAATCTTTTCAGAAGGTTTATGTCTTTTCATTAAATGAAATTAGGTAGCTTTTTCTTGTGTTTATCTTTTGGTTTTTTAAAAAATAATTTGGCCCTAAACAATTCAGTATTTGTTAAGGTTAACTGTATTTAAACAGCAGAGGTATGCTTTTAGGGTGGTGTACATAAATATAACAGGGTAGATTTCCTATTGTAAGAACCTCTGATATGAGCTGAGATGGGGAATTGCCCTTACAGTGCCCTTCAGTGACACTTACTATGATTTGCTTTTAGTTTCATGGGGGAATCATTAGCGTATTGGTTCATTTGTAACTGGTGGTTTATTGCCAAGGTTTTGAGAGTAGTGAGTTAAATAGCTTTAAAATTCTCACTATTGTTTAGAAGGCTAATTGTGTAAATTTAAATGTTAAAGCTTTTGAATGGCTTCTCTTTAACAGTGATTTTTAACAAATGTTTGATCATACTATATTTGTGCTACAGTTGAAATGCTGAAGTAGCATTTTGGCATCTCTCCCAAAAGCATGCTTAAAGAGGCTAGCGGCAGCATCACTCCCTGTCTCTTCAGTGCTTTTTACCTTGCGAGTGGTGCAGCTTGTTCTGCGGATGTACTGAAACCCTCCCATTTAATCTGCAGTGGAGGAGAATGGAGCTCACTGTCCAGTAGAAATCAATGATGTAGCAATGTTGCAGTAAATAGAAATGATTATATATTTCAATAGCTTAGCAAGAAGACATTTATAATATTTTTTTTTTCATCTGATTCATTTTTGCTTTCTGTTTTCTTCCAGAGAGATGTGGATAATTTGCCCTGCCTCCAACATTTGTTTCTCAGCTTCAACAATATATCTAGGTAAGTGGAAACTCCCAAGTTGTCATTTATTATAACTTGATTATGTGGGTCCTAGTGCTTTAGATTAAAATTGTAAATACCTTGGAGAATTTTACTGGCATGGGAGATTTTAAATTAGAAAATGATAAGGCAAAGTTCTTTGTGGAAAAGCAAAGCACTTATGTGTATTCTTGCCTGTAATGCTAACATGATGAAATTAGTATAGCATGTGCTTTTGATTTAATTATGCTTTAGAGCTGCTCTTTTGAAAAACATGAGTATGTGGAAATTTCAACATATATTTTGTTGTCCTTTGTTTGACATTCACGGCACTGGTCAGTTGAATTAGAATTTCATAAATTATCAGCTATAATTTGTAGAGCTACTAAGCAATTTTAATACGGCAGGCTGTATTTGTCACTGAGCCACTTGCTAATTAGGCCAAACTGCCTTCTAACTTAGTATCTCTACTTAGAATTAATGCTGCTAAGAGACAGTGGATTGGAATATAGAAATGTATAAATTTAGTTTTCCAATGATTTGAAGCATATCATTCTTTATATTGTGGTGATGTCTCATTCAGTGTCTACGTGAAAGATTTCAGAATTGAAACTGAGACACACAGTAAGACTTTTCAATGCAAAAGGGCCCCTACTTTTCCCTAATTCTTTCCTTCTCCTCCTTCCCAGGAGCCACTTAGCTTAAAACAAACAAACAAACAAACAAACAAACAAACAAACTGAGGGCTTTTTAATGCCCTCACCGCTTTAGTTTCACCTCAAGGCTGTTCTCTGAATCTGCTTTTATAAGAGGGTTAAAAAATATATATAAAAAGATTTAGAGCATATCTTTTTCTGAACTCCAGGTCTATGCTTCTGTATTAAAAACCAGTTTAATTTGTATGTTGTCTGTTGGCATGTTTTTTGCATGTCCTCCATCAAAATTGTTTTAATCCAAGCATCCTGTACTGTGTCTCTAGAAGACAGAAACTATCCAAAGACAGTGAGCTTTGCAAATAGACATTATTCTGAAGAAAATACTGTTATTCTTTTCTTTTATTCTCTTCTGTGGAAAAAATATTAAAGTTTTTTTTTGATTGACTTTTCATATTCTTCTCAGTATATTTTGAATGCAACATTCCAGCTGCCATTCTCTCTTGGGGAGGTAGAATTTCTTTCCAATGGCAATGGCAGGGACACTCATTTTTTTTTAAGGGAATTTCTTTCTAAAAATCATTTACAACTCTTTAGAGAAGATAGTATCTCATTTTTCCAATATGCAAAATACTTGCTGTTTAAGATGCTGCAAACTTTTGGATTCCTCCAACCTGTGGTGGAACTCATTACTTCTTTTGTTTCTTGTTTATGTGGAGTAATTTAAAGAGAGATATACATTTGATTATATAGGGTTATGATGTTCCCAGGTCCCCAGGATGTCTGAATTTTTAACTCCTATACTCCTAGCTCTGTGGGAAGTTGGTTTTGGTTGCCTGTGTCTGGGAAGTTTTCTTCTGGACCTGGAAAGGAGTTCTGCTTACCCAGCAAAATAAAGTTAAGATTAATGAGATTGGTATTTATAACTTTCTTTAAAAAGTGTGATTTCTCAAGAAAATAAAGATAGAAGTCAGTCAACAATCGTGAGGCTTTTATTCTCTCTGCAATTGCTTTCTCTGTGTTTCTATGTAGCTTTCACGGTATACCTTCCTCTTGTGTTTCCAGCGGGTCTGCTTTTGAGGCATAGTACATTTCCTGCTATGTATTTGTTGATGCTTGTGGTCCAGGAGGTGGTAGAGCAAATATATTGGGTCTAAGCGGGGAAAAATCAGAGACAGCAACCTTGAAAACATTTCTGTGAACTTTACTCAAGATACAAATATCTCAGATAGCTGGGCCGTCAGATAACCGTGTGGAAAGCTACAGTATATATTCAGGGCGCAGTTGTTCTTCTGTATCCTGCCATAATAGAGTTGCCAGGTTTTACAGTGCCAGCTTTCTGGGGTCTATGCTCCATGGACCCTAATTCAGTAGTTTTAGGTAGGGCTCAGGAATTTGTACCTTTATTTTAAAAATGCAGCTGACTTAAAAATACCAATGGCTTGTGCTTTTCAAACTTCAGGTCAAAAACCACATAGGGATCCTAGGATCAGTTTAGTGATTTACAACCAGGTACATTAAAATGGAATGGAAAATATCAGAATTTGTCACACATTTTAAGAGTATATACTGTTTCATAAACATTTCCTAGTTTTAATTATATATAGGTATGTCTACATATGCATATGTATGTATGTTATTTTACTATAGACAATGTGGAAACTGGGTTACAATGTTAATACGTTTCTTACTATGGGTTCGATGAAAAAATTTGAAAAATTTTGTGAGATCTTGCCACATGCATATATAGCTTCTTCTTATTGCAATGTTAGAGTTTATCGTAATTTTATTTTATATTGTCTCTTCTGTTAGACTGTAAACTTGACAAAGGCAGAGGAATATGTCTATTCTGTTCACTACAGCCTCTTCAGCATCTAGCGTGTATGTGTTCTTAGTACAGGTATTACTCATTATATTTAAAAGATTTATAAGGAGAATTTAATTCCTCAAAAAAATATTTTTCTATGTGATCTAAGAACTCTTTTTGGTGGATCCTTTTTTATGCTTTTTATTTTACTAGGTCATTTAGTCTATGTTTAATGAGTGGACTTGTGAGGTTTAAAGCTGTAAGTAAATCAGAGTTCTCTTGGCAGTTGTTTTGGGCTTCCAGCTTAATTTACTGATTTGTCAGTAAGGATCTTGCCCAAAATTTCTAGAGAAACTAAACGTTTTATTTGTGCAGTGGGGTATATCGGAATTGGGTATGGGTGTGGTATGCCCCAGGGTGTTTTTAAAAGATGTGGAGGTGCCTTGTCTATAAGGCATTTAAAAACAATAAAACTGACAAAAATAGTGTTGCTTTTTATTATCACTGTGCACTGGAATTTCTAACCTATGTCACTGATAAAATACTCTTCTCTGCCAGGGTGGACCTCTCATACCTCTTTTCTTACTTTAGTAAGACCATGTTATTTGGACTCAGCTTTTTCTTTATAATGTCACTGAAAATTTTAAACTAGGTTTCCTCTTTTTTGTTGTTTTGAGGAAGGAATGCTGTTTTAAGGTCTCTGATGACCTTTGTTAGTAATTATAGTATGGTTAAAGGTCACTGAAGCATATGCTTTGGGATGTGACTGCCTTCATCGCTATTCTCCAAGGCAAGATAATCCTCTCTGAAAATGGTTTATAATTTTATCTTTATCAGGAAATTACTCTCCTTGCATTTTTCTCAAGCTATGTTTCAACTTGATAAGTCACCCTATATGAATTATATTTCTAGAAAACAATCTATTTCTCTTTAGGAAAACTTAAGCTGCCCTGCAGTAGCCTCATTTAGTACTAGTTGGTATTTTAAGAAGGAAATTATTTCACTGACCTTCAGAAGGTATTGATATTTTTCATGAGCTCAGGTTGTTAGATAGTATTCCTGTAGCTGAGATATAAGGTTTTACTCTTGTACCTTCCAGGATTGCAGGTGTCACTTATGTTATTTTGGCTTGAAGGAAGTTCATTTCCCTTAGTTCTAGTATGCAGCTTACTGTTAGAATGCCTTTACTTTTCCTTTGTTAGCAGATAACCAATGATATGCAAATCTTCTTACTGAGTTAAAAACTGAGGAAATCAACTATTGACAGATCTTTTCTGACCATCTGCTAAGTTTTAAATTTGACAAATGACTACATGCTTGTCAAGGAAACTTCATTATCAGTTTCCATTTATCTACTGAACTCCTCTTGTGTTTATCAAATAGTTGATGTGTGAGTCACCTTCATTCAGACAGACATTTAACTGCATTTTTCTGAATGTGTTGGGCATCATGTAAAGAGGACCCACAAAAACAAGATTTAAAAATGGGGCATTTGTTTTCATCTATTGCTGCTTTATTTCTTCTTTGTGAGTAAACCTCCCTGAGTATGGTCAGGTAGCATACAGTGCCTTAGTAGGTCTGCCTAGCTGTAGCTTTTGAATTCTTTTAGACAGAAAATAGGTGAAAAGCGATACTCACAAGTAATGATAGATGTGTTCTACCACTTCAGAAAAATAGACTTTGGGTAAGATTAATTTGTTTGATAATGCTCAGGGTTGACTATTATTGGATTTAAATATATTTCATTTGAAACACAGCACTTTTACTAAAATAATTTTTCTATAGTTTTTCATTGCATATCTTATTTCAATACAACGTTATTAAAGTGCTGTTTTTCCTTTTAGAAATCAGAAGCAAAAATTACTCTAAAATGTTATAAAATAGAAAGATGTTTAAAATGAACCAACTGTATTTTCCTCATTGTTCTTAGAACATTTGTCATAGATGATTATGTTCTGGTTGTAATACTTTGCACTGTAATGTAAAGTCTTATTTTAATTTTTTTACACAAGTTAAGGATTTCTCAGTTTAGCTAATTTTTATTTTGTTTTATTGTTTTATTTTTATGTTGCAGTCAAAATGACTTCTTATTTCTGTTAGTTTCAAATGTATTTGTTCATCTCATGCTAGACAGATTATTGACTATATAGATGGAATATTAGCATCATGTACTCTTGTCAAGTGTCAGTATGATTGAAGACATTGGAGATCTTCTTCTGATTTAAGGGAACCAGCAATCCTGCCATTCACACAGTAGAACTTTGAACTTGTGAAATTATTCTGTTAATGTTTCTGCAGAGGTAAATGAGCATTAGCAATCAACTTCTTTATATGCCTTACATATCTTTCAGCATTCTGCATAATTGTAAATTCTATAGGTTTATTTGTAGCATTTAAAATGAACAGAATACATTTGCTTTATATTTTCTAATTTACTAAATTGCATGTAGAGTTTATGGCCATCTTGAAATTATATAAGTGACAGGAACAGAGATGAAAGGCTTCATTTGGATGTATTGTTAGGGAGCACCTGAAAGCCAGATGACTCTCTGATTGAAACA